GAGAGAGCGAGAGAGCGAGAGAGAGAGAGAGAGAGAGAGAGAGAGAGAGAGAGAGAGAGAGAGAGAGAGAGAGACTCTAGTTGAACAGCGAGTCAATTTGCAGTCATCGATTTTGATGTCAGGTCGTGATCTGTTTGGTGACTGACCACCTTTAAGAAGTGGCAGACCACCTTCAAGAAGTGTCAACCTTTACGAAGTGCCAAATAGTCGGCGGTCAGAGGACTCTAGTGCTAAAAGCATTCTTAGGGGACCTTGCGGTCGTGTTCAGAACATATTGGCGTAGCACTAGATGTTCACTAAGCAGTTCTGGATGTCAGTTATATCGACACATCATAAAATGCCTTACAAGCAAGCAGCGGCTGCTTGCAGGACCTTCTACCCGGTACGGATCTTTGAGAGCAGAGTTTCGCACTCCATCATGAGATCCACATCGGATAAGTGGACCTGCCATCCTACCGCTGTTAGCTGTAGTCATTTTGAGGGAGTCGATGAGGTGAGGACCCGACAAAGAAAACTCTTAGGGGACTTTGCTGCTGTGTTTTTGGAACTTATTGGTGTAGAACTAGATGCTCACTAAGTAGTTCTGGATGTCGGTTATATCGACAAACCATAAGATGCCTTACAAGCAAGCAGCTGCTGCTTGCAGGACCTTCTACCTGGTGTGGATCTTTGAGAGCAAAGTTTCGCACTCCACCGTGAGATCCACATCGGATAAGCGGACCTGCCATCCTACCGCTGTCAGCTGTAGTCATCTTGAGGGAGTCGACGAGGTGAGGACCCGACAAAGAACACTGTTAGGGGACTTTGCTGCCGTGTTTGGAACATATTGGCGTAGCACTAGATGCTCACTAAGCAGTTCTGAATGTCGGTCATATCGACACATCATAAGATGCCTTACAAGCAAGCAGTGGATGCTTGCAGGAGCTTCTACCCGGTGTGGATTTTTGAGAGCAGAGTCTCATACTCCACAGTGAGATCCACATCGGATAGGCGGACCTGTCATCCTACCGCTGTTGGCTGTAGTCATCATGAGAGTTGATAAGGTGAGAACCCGGCAAAGAACACTCTTAGGGGACTGTGTTCTTTGCTGCCGTGTTTGGAACTTATTGCCGTAGCACTAGATGCTCACCAAACAGTTCTGGATGTCGGTTATATCGACACATCATATGATGCCTTACAAACAAACTGTGGTCGGATCCCGTCCCCCATCCCCGACGCGGATCTATGAGAACAGATTTTACGCAATACACCGTTAGATCCACATCGTAGAGGCGGAGCGGTCCTCCTACCGCTGTTCAGAGTAGTCATCATGCGGGAGTCGACATCGCAAGAACCCGACGATGTTCGAACTGGGACGTGCTCTTGTTTCGTGATGTGCAAGTGCTTACCCCCCGGACCGGCGGTGCGTTCAATCCCCTCCTCGACGTGAAGCAAAGTGTGAGGAAATTGCTCAGGGCTCACACCAGAAGTGCGATTGAACTCGCACTTTGATGGAGAAGCAGTTGCACAGTCCATCAGCGTGACGATTTAATATGGACATTGGCTTGTCATTTGTATATTCCAAGTTGAAAACGCCATCAAATCTTTCTGTGTAGAAGATTCATATTCATTCATACAAGTATCTCTTGTCATCGCAAACATCGACATGAAAACATCTCAAGTCAAATTGCAAAGCACACATAGACATCGGAAACATCGAGGTGAAAACATCTCAAGTTGCCTAATGTTTTTCCAAAGGTGAGGTCTCACAGCACACGAACAGTTTCCAGAAACCATTCAATGCAAAAAATTCATTCAATGGCAAATTGCAAAACACACAGAGATGTTTCAAAAAATCATTGAACGCAAAATATCATACATCCCACATTGCAAAGTGCACGGAGGCTTTCCAAAAATCACAAAGCACATGGAGCCAAAGTGCGAATATGTTCGCATTTCTCATATGGAAAAAACAGTTCAATCACAAATGTACGGCATCCAAAGTACGAATACGTTTGCATTTCTCATACGGAAACAACATTCAGCATTCCGTCAAGAGCATGAGATGTATTCCGGGGATAACAAAATTGGTAATCATTTAGTGCACCGCTGAATCCTTAAAACAACTTCAAGCATGCATACATTCTGGCGACAATTGGTTTCCGAATGGAAAACAAGTTCGCAACTGCCATAAGGAACTAACACACAGCATTCAATGGAGACAAGCAGAGCGGGTGAACCGTAAAACGGGGTGGCACACGCAGAACAAGGGCGAGCCAAAACATATGAAAGCTGGGTGGTCGGGGGTGGGGCGGGGGAGAGGGGCTTTCACACCACAAAGTCTCGCGAACGAAAGAGATAAGCACGAAACAATTTGGCGACCAAGAATAAATCGTCGATATCTTTCACTAAGAGCATGAGTGCAAAATGTTTACAAGAGGATGAAGACGTCCCATGAGTAACAGAGCAGCACAACCTCGAAACGAACAAACGCAGCACGACGTGACAAACGCAGCACGGTGTTGCCGCGGTTTGAAAGTCAGGATATTCACATCCCATATCTAAGCGTCTGCTGAAAAGACACTGCATCACGTGGCTGAGATATTTACATCGGCATCTAAGATTGTACTTCACGTAAGAGTCCGCAGCAACCCTCTAGCTGATGTTGCGCAGCAAGCAATGAGAACAACCCGAAAACAAACAAAGGCAGCATGGCGCTGCCGAAAGGCGTACGAGTAAAGATGACAGGTTCCTCGAAATGAAGAACCCTTAAAAAATTGCTACAGCACGAGGCTGGGATATTCACATCGACACTTAAGCGTTTACTTGACCAAAACATCCACTGCAATTTGGTATCTCATCAAAACAACAGCACAGTTTGAACCGGCCGACTGGTAGATTAAGTGGGAATAGATTCGCACTTCTGCTTATGGCATTTCGAAAAAAAAACTACGCGTATTTTAACAACAGTGACATCATTCAGCGCCTTGGAGTATGTCCACCGCAATCCTCAGCCGGATGTTTGGAATGTCGCTTTGGGCTATCAGAAATGGTATCGGACAGCCGCGTGCAAGAAATTAAGCGAAGGGGAGCATGAAAACACCGCAGCTCGACCCGTCCGATTGTTGAGGGACACCACGAACAACCACCTTGGGCTTCTGGAGATCCACTTTCGTTTTTTGACCATAATGACAAACTGCTTCGTCACGGAGGTATTGTGTGAAGTTCGCAATCACATCGGAAGAAAAAACGTCATTGTCTTGTACGAGGGAGTCGTAGTACTCAAGTCGTTGTTCTCGGAGACACAATAGGGTCCAACGCACTCCATGTTTATGGACAGGAATCAAGACCACCTCGTACGAGAAAATATCCACATCTTTTGTCCATCTCGCAACCTTATCATGTCGACAGCCGCCACGGACGAGCTTGGTATAGAAAAAGGGACTGAAAATGTAAAGAGAGGGACACCCAGGCAACACAGCGTTGGCAAGCAAGGCCAAGTACGACTCCACCACCTCCTCGGAAAGCCATTCCCCTTGAACAAGAGTTTGAAGACTTTTTCTGCTCAACTGAATTGAACTTACCCCCTTGCGAACCGAGGACACCACCTCGTGGCCGTTGCTGAAATCTCCGCAGACGTTCCACAACATTCTGAAGTCCGTAGCGCTAAGCTCCTCAGTAGACAATGGAACGCGAAAACATGATGTAGCCCCAGCTGCACAAATACTCACGAACAAGTGTGAGGAGTGATCAAAATCACCGGGCGAAATGATTAAGAACCGTCTGCCCTTTTCCCAGAAAAGTTGTATCCCCGACTGTTGAATGTGTCCTTGGCGATGTACTTAGGACACGGGTCTTTCAAGACACCCCGTTTGTCATCGTCATCAGACCCATCAGACAAAGCAGTAACGCTTTCAATAGACAAAACCAAATGTTTCCACAAACCTTCCCCCTTATCATTCCACAAGCCTTCAGAACCCTGACAGCTCTCTGAGAAAGGCGAGGCATCTGGACCGTTTTAAACAACCCTAGACTTGATGACTTCTTCGGTAAAGCGGCCAATGACCTCCCTGAAAGACATTTCTCGCTCACGGCTTTTACAGGCTTCATGGGCAGGGACATTGACAACCTCACACCTGTAGAACATAGAAAACAACCCACAGCCCACAAACTTTTTTTTAACAAGTGGTAATAGGTACATTAGCCCATGACATCAATTTGGACGAACACAAAGTGGGCTAGTGACAGATATGCGAGTGATCCTATTCACAAATCTTACCGTGCTCGGGAGTCCTTTGAGGGAACTCGCCCTCCTGTCGTGCCACTGCGCCAACGTCCACAGACGATTCGAGGTTCTCCACCTCGGCCACGGCTGTGTCGCTAACTAGCTCGGTGGCAGCTGAGTCGCTTGGCAAGTCGATGACTTCATGAAGCACCATTTCCGGACCGGTACTGAGGACAGATGCTCGATCACCCTGTTCTGCACCGCAACGGGTTGACGGAGAATCATGATCTTTCCACTCTGGATCCATCTTGATGCTGACGGCCACCTCACCGCCTTCCACGGAGGATTCGACGTTCTGCATCTCGGCCACGCCTGAGTCGCTAACCAGCTCGGTGGCAGTCGAGTCGTCAACCAACTCTATGGATTCATGAAGCACCATTCCCCGAGCGGTGCTCAGGACAGACGCTCGACCACCCTGTTCTTCACCGCAACGGATGGGCGAAGAATCACGGTGACCATCTTTCCGTTGTGGATCCATCGGGATACTGACAGTCACCTCACCGCCTTCCACCACAGGTTCTCCGCCTTTCTCATCGCCATGAACCCGAGCTTCCACCTCGGGTTCTTCTTCGTCTTCATCGTCGCCAAGAACAGGAGCTTGCACGAAGTCCACTGACCTCCCTTAACGACACCCTCTCGTGTCGTAGCCACAACCAAACGACTATGCATAACCTCTTCGGACGTCCCGATCACCAGCGCTCGTGAGTGGAGCCCCTTCACGTCTTCCCGAGCCGGCCAGGGTCTCCTCTCCTCTCCCCGCTGTAGAGCATGTGTTTCCCCCGGAGCTCCTGCACTCTCGCTGTCAGTGTCCACGAACGCACCCTCCGAAGCATGACGTTCACACTCGCTACCCTCGGTCTCCAACACTTTGCGAGAATGCCAGCGTTGAGTCTCCTCTTCCCGATGAACAGCACGCGTTCCCGGAGATCGCTCGTCTTCCCCAGGAGTAGGACGTTCGTACTCGACACCCCCAATCTCCAACACTCCTGCAGTGGGCCCCTCCAGCACGTCTCGAGACCGCCAGTCTCGAGTCTCAACACATGAGACCGGAGACGAGCAGGGTAACCTTGTGTCCAACTGAAGATGCGGGGGGCAGGACGTCACATTTTCTTGGCCCCGCAGGAATGTTGCGTGAGGAGCACTTATGGCGGAGGGCGACGTCAGCAAATCCGAATGTATTCGGAGTTTGTGGCGGTCGCTCGAGCCGAAGGAGAAGCGAAGGTCGCACCCTCGCTCCTTCGCAATGCAGGCATCCCGCCCTCTAGGCAAAACGAAGACGCGTCCTCTTTCAGGAGCAAGGTGTTGAGCATAGGAGACCTCTGCTGCGCACGACGGGATGGACTCTCCTCGGCAACGGGAAACAAAGTCCTCGCAGACAAGTGCGAATCTACTCGCACTTGATCAGACCTCAGGGTGGCCTCGTCTCGCATATCGGAATCTCGACTCCCTACGCAGTGAGGGTCTGTTTCCATATACTGGGGACTCCCGGACGTTCTACGCTTCCCGCCCGACCCCTTCCCGCCCGACCCCTTCCCGCCCGACCCCTTTCCGCCTGAGTCCTTTCCGCCTGACCCCTTTCCGTCGGACGCCTTCTCTACCGACGATGTCTCGCCGTCCCCTTTCGGGCAAATTGTGAGTCGTCTCCTCTGCCGCCTCCGCCGTCTCCTTCGTCTCCTCCTCCACCCCCTCCCGGATGCTGACCGCCCAACGGAGGTTGCGGCATGCGCCAGTCAATGCCACGAGACGGTGCCATTTTGAGTGTGTAGAAAGGCGCTCGAAACTCCAACATGTTGCTGGCATACAACTCATTTAGTTTTTGTTCTACGTACGCACCGACGTCCGGATCGTTCCTCCCGGGGTTCATGAGACTCAAATGCTCCACCAGAGCAGTTCTCGCCGTTCTCTTAAATGCACCCGCTCCCAGTCTCTTCAGTCCACTCCACTTGCCATCCGCCTCCTTCATTGCCATGACCCACACTCCATTCCTCACAGCAGGTTGGAATATCCTCGGGTGCCAGACAACGTTGTGTCCCCAAACATCCTCCAACGTGAACCGGTGATGCTTGCCGAAGAAGTAGAGTCTGTCATTCTGCCAGGTATCATGGTCCTCAGGGAGCCTGTCACAAGGTTCGTGATCATAGTCTCTGTCTTCCTCCCCGTCATCAGACGATTGGAAGTCGACTGGTTCGCCCCGAAACACATGCTTCAAACCGGCAGGGGACGTGCTATATCTCCGAGGGCCACCTTCCTCTTCATCACCAACCTGTCCAACCACCCGAGGAAGTGGCATGGACTCGGAATCGAAGGTTTCGGAGTCGCTCAGCTCCTCCATGTCTTCAGCGTCGAAATGGTCCTCCTCGTCAAACTGTAACTTGTAGTTTTCGAGAGTGAGCGGTTCGGCCAGCGTGAAGTAAACGTGCTCCAGCCTTCTCAGGAAATGCGAGACAGACTCCCTAGGTGCACCGTGGTACCCAATGAGCACACCGAACACCAGGTTTCTCCGTCGACTGTATTCGAGGTCGGTCGGACCAGGCGGTCCGGGTCGGAAAAGGAAGTCCCAAACGTCCGTCCTTTTGTTCCCCGACAATTTCCAATACATGTCACGTTTGGGATCCCGGTTTTGTTCGCCGGTGGTGTGGACAAACTCGCAAGCATTGCGAGTGTCTGCAACGCGTGTCTTCACGAACTCGTGAAGGTAATCGATCATCTTCAATTCCTTCTCCAATGCGACGACGTTCCGACCGGTGCGGAAGAATTCCCACACGACAGATGCATGCGCCTTCCCAAAGAAAAAAACAGTTTGCCCAACTTTGCAAAAGTTTTCGAGTAGACCAATAGACGGGACGGGTTCCGGTCAATCTCCCCGTAAGCAGGTCCTTGAGAACTTGTCACGCTGCCGTCCTCCCACGTGCTACGAGAGAACCTTTCCTCTTCCGCCACGTCGAAACACGCCATAGCCTGTCCTGATGGGTCCAACGAACACACTGCTTTCGAGCGGGCCGCCACCGTGTGTTTGGTAGGACTTGGACCATGAGCACGGGAAGCCTTTGTCGGGCTACTGGCCGGGTAGACTGCGAATGTGTTGTCTTCCAGCTTTTCGCCATTAAAAATCACGTACAGGCGGTCACACTCCTCAACCAACATATTGCCTTCCCGGACAGTGGCCTGCTTTTGTGCATTGCGCACCCACTTCCCTGTCCTGACGTGATGGACGCTAAGCGTGGCCATGCCTTTCAAGAAACTGAGCTCCCAACGAGAGGGGAAAAAGACCACAAGTGCCCAGTGCGTTGGCGAAAGTGTTTGGAGAACGCCTTGCAAGTTCGCGAAATCGTCTTCTTGCCAGTCTGTGAGGAGTGTGGGGTCACACAAATCGAGGACGTACAGGTTGCACACGTAATGTCGCACAACCTCACGTATCGCAATGGCTTGACTGTGAGCTTGGGAAGGCGGGAAAGCGAAAGGAATAAGGCTGGTCACCCGGTTGAGGTCGGGCCATTTGATGTGCCTCACATCCCCGCTGACCCTGATCGTGTCTCAAACTTCTTCTTCCGCCCGTCGCAAGATGGAACGGACAGACTTTTCGAAAGATTTAGGGAACCTGTCATCATCGTACAATCTCTTCACGTCGTCGATGGACTCCTTCTCGTGCGGAAGAGTACATTTGCAAGTGTTCACATACTCCACCACGCCCTGGAAATGCTTTCGCATTTCGACCCACACCTGTTTCGTGAGGCCCTGCGACCCGAACTCCTCCTCAAGCTTCCCCTCGGTCCGAAAAAAAGGGCTCTCGTGGCGCCAAACACGTTCGTCCTCCTCTGTTTCAAGGAACAAGATGAAGTGGAACATACGGAGCATCACACGGTCCACTTTCCTCGTCGTGACCATGTCTTTAATTCCAGGTTTATGCAGCCGCTTCAGATGGCCGCCCGCGGATTGCGTGAACACTCCCCTTAGGGCGAGAATGTCGTTAAGGATCGAGAGTTTCTCGACATCGGTCATATCGACGAGACACTGCCAACAGAACATGTCTGGCTCCTTCATGACCACGAAAAATTTGTCGTCCGCTTGCGTTTGCTTTTTGGTCGGAGGCAGCGGGACCCGGACCAGCCACCCCACCTTCGTATCACTAGCCGCCCCTTTCGAGCCCATTTCCGGAATTGCTTACAGAACCGGAGATTTGTCTAGCATGTATTTGCCCGGCCTCAACAATGGCGTCTTGCCGTCGCCGCCCAACAACTTCCCCGCCGCCCATTTCACGTAGAACTCCATGGCTTTGCGGAAAACGTCATCACCGACCGTCACGAGCGGCATCCAATGCCTTAATGCATTGCCAACGGCAGCGACATACTCCCTGTCGGCGAGCGACAAATCTTTTTCTGCCAACGCTTTGTGAGCTTCGTTCAGACTCTTTCCCATCATCAGTTTTTGGAATTCGAAAAACTTTCGTTTTTCAGCCTCCTTTCCGGAAGGGTTCCCTTGAATGGCCATCGGCCTTCCTTCTTTCTCCCATGCCTCCCGCATGTCCAAAAACGCGGCCTTCTGCGATCGCTGCTTAGACATCTTGTGTCTCGTGTTCTCGTTGAGACAGACCTGCCTATAGCCCGCGGAATCTCGGTCGGCGAACCACACTACTCTCGCTGGCCACGAGTGCATCTTCCACAAATTGAATATTGGCTCACCCTCCAACTCCTTCACAACAGCCACGGTGTGTTGTTTGTTAACAGGGTAATAGTAGTACTTGTCCTTGTCCTCTGGCTTGAAGACATCTTTGTGAACCCTGTCAGCCATCTCCGGCCTACCCGTCACTGGCTTGTAAATGGGTGCCAGAACCAAAGGGTTTTTCGTCCCAATTTCCCCCCTTTTCTCGCGGAATTGACTCAGCATCGCAGCCTTGATGTCGTCCACAATTTAACGATTTAGACTGCGGTGGGTGTAATATTTTTCCCAAGACGGGATGTCGCAGACCTTCCTGGGGTCGATGAGCAGTTGGACGGGGAGCTCCTTCTCCACGATTTTACCGCCATCGTTCCGCTAGTATTCGAGCTAGAACGCTGCCGCTTCGTTGCACTCCTCACCGACAGGCTGTTCGCCCCCGCTCGCCACCTCAGCAGTCTTCCACCTTTGAGGTTTCTTCTGACCATCGCCTTCTTCAGCTGGCACTTTCCGTTTCGATTTCCCCGAAGGTTCTCTCGCGGCCGCAGCGCCTGGATCAACCGAATCTCCTCCACCCACGGCTTGTCCTTTGCGGATGGTCAAACCGTCGGGCCTCCTCGCTTTCTTACTTGCCGTCCCACCCTCTTCCTTCGGCGGCCTCTTTCCTGAGGCACGTTCTCCGATGTCACCTCCATCCCCGCCCATCACCGCCTCCGATTTTCCTTTCATCCTTTTCATGCGGAGAGTTCCTTCCGCCACCTCCTCTCGCACCATCCTCTGTCGCTTGCGCTTCTTCTCTGAAGGAGTCTGCTCCCCGCCAGAGCTTTCGCGGACAGCGCCCATCCCTTCAGCCTTATTCCCTCCAAATTCTTGCCCCGATCTGCCGGATTCTCTTCTCGTCTCATCTCGAAGTGAGTACGTGTCGCCGCCGCAGCGGACCTTGATGAGTTTCGGAGTACCGACCCGTTGAGTCCCTGTACCCTGAGAATGCAAGTCCGACGTGTTCCCAGGAGCATCCGGGCCGACCTGCGTGTGAACGCTGCGCGCGCGCCCCTTGACCCGACCCCCAGCGTCTTGAATCGGACTCCCGCGCCCCACTGCCGTACCTGGAGTTTCTTGAGCCAAGCTGGATGACCCCTCATGGGGTGGCAGAAGCCGAAAAACATGTTCTGGCGGAAGAACCGGACGTTCTTTCGGCACCATCAGCCCGAGATCGAGATATTGCTCTGGCGATGGAAGACGCTTGTTCCCGCCATCGCAAAGGCCTTTGAAGTGAGAGCACAACGTCATGTTCGAGATGTACCCCGCGAAACTCTTGATGGTCACCAGCACACCTTTAACACCTCTGAGAGGCAGTCTGCACTCGTCGTACAAGCCGTTAGTGTGCAGCTTGAGCAAACCTCCAGGAGTCTTGGCGCACGAGACTATGGTACCGAGAGGAAGAACATTGACCGCTCCCCCAACGTCTAGAACGCAAGTGGGTCCCATGAAAACAGCTGGCCCAAAAAGGTCCCCTTGAACTATGAAGTCCAAAAACCAATGTTCTCCCTTTGTGTGCATATGTTGAGGAGTAGATTGCTGTAGAGGTCGTCCCTCCGCGGGGGCAGATGGTCCAACGCTTGTGGATGTGTTCTTTGCGGACGCGTTTGTACTCCCACCCGTTGACTAGCATGCCCAACCTCAGACCAACTCGGATGACTAATACGCCCAACCCCAGACCACTACAGAAGTGAAGTGCGAACTAACTCGGACTTAACGAAATGGAGGACGGAAAGGACGTAAGAGATGGGTGTTCGAAATGCTCACGAAGTCACAACAATCGGGTGAAGGATAGGAAAGACAACAGTCCTCTGGCAGAGTGCGAACGAGCTCGCTGTCGTAGAATCGAGGAAGAGGATATTTATCTTCAGGACAGTACGAACTAACTTGGAGTTTCGAGAATGAAGTCGTCTACAACAAGTACCGCATGGGTATCGACAAGGGGGAACCGACGTGCAGTTTCGGGCTCAAGGAAACCGAAGAATGAGATTGGTGTTTGAAATGCAAACAAATACAAAACAATTGCGGGCTGGCAGAGTGAGTTCGGAGGGAAGACGACAACCCTTCGGAAAGATTGCGACCCGACTAGATGCCCTCGAAACGAGTAAGATGTGGTTTATCGACAAATGCGAAGGGTGTCGACAAGTGCGAACTAACTCGCAGTTCTGTAGACAAGACAACAATGGCAACCTGCAGCACTACGGGAAAGTGCGAACTAACTCGGAATTGTGGAACTGAAGACCTGAAAGACGCAAGAAACGAGTAAGATGTGGTTTATCGACAAGTGCGAAGAGTGTCGACAAGTGCGAACTAACTCGCAATTCTCCTGACAGGACAACAATTGCAACCCGAAGTACAAGGGGAAAGTACGAACTGAATTGGAATTGTGGAACTGAAGACCTGGTTTATCGACAATTGCGAAGGGTGTCGACAAGTGCGAACTAACTCGCAGTTCTGTAGACAAGATAACAATGACAATCCGCAGCACTAGGGGAAAGTACGAACTAACTCCGAATTGTGGAACTGAAGACCTGAAAGCCACATGGGATGGGTTATCAACTCTCCAGCAGTGTTGCTAAAAAAGTGCGAACTAACTCGCATTTGTGGAAATAAAGAATTGCCTGTAATGAAATACGTGTCTAACCTTGGGAAAACTGGGAATTACCTCGCACTTGTCACTCCTCGAACACTGTACATCGCAAACTGGGAACTGACTCGGAATATATCTCTCTCTATATATATATGTAACTATATCTATCTATCTATATATATATATATATATCAGGTCGGCGACCTCACAAGGGACAGGTGAGCAAAAATCGGGAATTGATTCGGTGTTCAGTGTAGCAATATATCTCTTTATATATATATATATATGTATCTATATCTATCTATCTATATATATGTAGATATCAGGTTGGCGATCTCACAAGGGACAGGTGAGCGAAAAATGGAAATTGATTCGATGTTCAGTGTAAAAACTAGGTATTGATTCGGGGTTTGTCATGCGCAGCGACGACTACAAGTTGCGAAGGGGATCGAGCAGCTTCATACGAACGTTATCGTGGCTATGGCGAAAGGTAATCGAGCTTCGGAACGCGGATCGGCTATGGCGGACGGAGGTGGAGGCTGGAGAAAAGACATCAGAACACGTCCACTGCCGAAACAACAAAATCAGGAATTGATTCGGGGTTCAACAGAACGCGGCTGCAACGTTATATCCTGCAGGTACAGACAGGGCATCTGGGAATGTGTTCGGACGTCGGACATTGAATAGGACAACTCAAGTTATATAATTTTACCTTCGTCGTGCATTGAGCGAGCAACCAACGTCGGACGGATATAGATGTGCAACCACCAAACCAGCTATGGTGGAGGGATATCGAGCTAGGAAGAGCGAAGAGCGAAGAGCCAACCGAACACAATGTGGCTACTGCGGACGGAGCGAGGAGCGAAGAGTGAGCGGGCTATGGCGGAAGGTGGGGGGGGCTGACGACCAAATATCAGAACGTGCGCGGAACCGATAGCACAACTTGATCTGTGGAGCGCCAAGCAAAGGGATAACTCGAGGGCTGCAACGCCTTTTATACTTTGCTGCAGCAGGCCTCGTGTCGGGATCAAGGTGGGGCCTAATCGATTCGCATATCCCACCCCTGGGCCCATAAAACGCCATCAAGGTGGGGCCGAATCGATTCGCGTATCGCACCCCTGGGCCAATAAAACGCTAGGGCCTACAGTCGGTAAGGGGTACCGGAAATTGTCAGCCGTCGATCAACAATTTTCAACTGCGCAGATGAACGGAGCCAGTGATATGCCAGTGGTCCCATAATCTCCGTCAACTCCGGCGTGCAATGATGTGACAGTTCCCGAAAACAAGGGGCAGGCAATGTCATTTTCGCAGTTCTAATCTGGACCGTCGATCGGCATGATCCGACGCACGAGGTCAAGCGTAAGAATCTATTAGGTGCGGCGATTCGTTGTGCGCTGAGGCGGTTCGTTGCGCGCCGAGGCTAGGCGACATTTTATTTCCCGCCGAGGCTCGGCGATTCGTTGTGCGCCGAGGTCAAAAACACCGGGAATCTATAAGTTCCGGTGTCGTTGTCATTTGGACATTTTGCGAATGCCAACGGCGTTGGATATCGATGCGCGAAGCCATGCACCATCGCCATCGATGTGCTTAGCTCATCGCCATCGCCAACGCTCGCCATGCACCATTGACATCGATGCGCTTAACTCATCTCCATCGCGACGCAAAGCTATATCCCCCATCACAGTCGTCGCGCTCGCCTGACCATCGCAGCACTGACAATCGTCATCGCTCTCATCGCAGCACTGGCCATCGCTGCGACATCGCAACGCTGGTACCAAAGCTGCCATCGCAACGCTGGTTCCATCGCTCTGCCATCGTTATCGCTGCCATCGCAACGCTGGATCCATCGCTGCGCCATCTCTCAATCGGTGCTCCATCACTATCGCTGCTATCACTATCACTATCGCTGTCATCCCTATCGCTGTTCCATCGCTGCGCCACCGCTCTCCACCTCTGCGCCATCGCTATCGCTGTTCCGTCGCTGCGCCATCACTCTCCACCGGTGCGCCATCGTTGCGCCATCGCTATCGGTGTTCCATCACTGCCATCGCTATCGCTATCGCTGCATTGTAATGCGTTCCATCGCTGTGCCATCGCTGTCCACCGGTGCGCCATCGCTCTCCACTGCAGCGTTGGCCATCAGTATTGAAGCCCCGGCCAGTGTTATCCCACCGCAGTGCTGCGCGATTTCTCTCTCCATCGCCGCACGATCTCTCTCCATCGTTGAGTGATCACTCTCCATCTCACTCCATCACTGCGCGATCTCTCTCGACCACCGGGCAACCTCCATCCTTGCCCTAGAGGCTCTCCATTACTCCTGCGCGATCCCACCATCGCCAGTGTATTGTTGTTTCAGGCCGTCGTCGGTGCAACCGCCCATCACTGTGGAATCGCACGAAATAAGTGACAGGTATGCTTAACGAAGGTTTAACTCGATGGAACTGATGTTGTGAAATAACAAATCTTGGTCATCGCTGTGCCTTCTCTCTCCATCACTGCGGCATCGCTAACCATTGTTGCGCATCGTCTCTCCATCTCTCTCCACCGATGCGTGATCTCTACCGACCTTTCGTCATCTATCCCCATCTCTGCGGTAGCTTTCCTAATATATCTCCTTCGTCATCTATCTCCTCTGGTGCGCTATCTTTCCTACTCTATCTCCTTCGTTATTTATCTCCATTGTTGCGCTATCTTTCCTAATCTATCTCCATCATCATCTATCTGCTTCGGTGCGCCATCTTTCTCCATTGATGTGCTATCGCTAACCATCGTTGCGCCTGCTATCTCCATTGATGCGCCATGTTTATCCATCGGTGCGCAATCTCTCTCTCTCGCTCCGGCACATCTCCCAATCAGTTGGCGATCTCTTTCCCTTCCTGCGCCATCTACCTTCTTCCCCAGAATATACAACGCACTTTCATTATAGTTGTCTTTAGACTGAAAGATGACCCGAATTCAGCTGTAATGACCGGACGTTGTATTCAGGGGAAGACTGTGACTCCATCCATCTCTCTTCGTGCGCCATCTCTCTCAATCAGTGCGCCATCTCTCTCGGTGTATTTTCATCGATGCACCGTCTGCCCATCGCTTCGCAATCTTTCTCCATCTTAAAAAACAGTACGTCATCTTTCCCTATTCGTCTCTTGCGATGATCTGTGGCTCGTACTACACGCAGAACAAGCCGGAAACAACTTGCACTTGTACCCGCAGTTTCGTAATGGAAATGCTCGTTTACAAGTGCGAATCCATTTGCTCTTGAACCAACCAACTCCTTAATTTGTTACTGTTTAGTCCATAGGTCAGAATTAACTCGCACTTGTACCCCCAGTTTCGTAATAAAAATGTCCGTTTGCAAGTGCGAATTTATTTACTCTTTAACCAACCATCCACCTAAATTTCTTACTCTTTAGCCCATAAGTCCCTGTTTCATAGTGGAAATGCTCGTTTGCAAGTGCGAATTTATTCGCTCTTCAACCAACCATCCCCCTAAATTTGTGACTCTTTAGTCCGTAAGCCCCAGTTTCATAATGGAAATGTTCGTTTGCAAGTGCGAATTATTCGCTCTTCAACCAACCATCCCCCTAAATTTGTTCGTCTTTAGTCGATAAGTCGCATCTCTTCTCGACCCAAAAAAATGAAGTCCTTTTGTATTTGCGAGTTAACTCGCCACTGAAACAACCACGAAGGCAATTTCTTATTGCACGGCGTAATTGAAATGTTCCTCTGAAGTGCGATTTTCTTGGCACTTGAAATTTCTTGCTGTTTAGTGGATAATACCGAATTGACTCGCACTGGTGTTCGCTCTTGTTCCGACCATGAACTTAATTTCTGATTGTACGTTGAATAAGTCCGAGTCAGCTCGCATTTATACTCTCGCCTGAAAAAGTGCGAGTTTACTCGGACATATCCAAACCACTTGCACACTGAACGAGTGGGAGAGGAGTCGGACTTGAGATGCCACTTGAGCCTCACATCAGAGTCCAACAAAACGATATGGATTCAAATGGTGTTGTTCCACTGTTTTGTGATAAATATTAGAAATGAG